TTCCCAACAGCACGTTTACTACAGCAGTGTTAAAGTAGTAAGTAGTAATGCGAATTTGGCGAGTTAATTGTGTTTCGTTGTTGTCACAATGTACATGTTAAGGCAATGGGCAATGACCTGTAGAAATCGCACCTGACTCGTATCTTATGCCCCATTTTTAGGGGAAAATTGTACTCTCCACTTATATCATGCGAGAATAAGATCATTCTGTAAAAAAAACAGTATTTTCCTAGTAAACGGGCACTGTTTGGAACGAAAAGGTACATTTCTATTGAAAATGTTGAACGAAAACTGACCGCTATCAAAGATTATCGTAGTGCTAGAACAATAGAGATGTGTCAAATAGTATTACTGTTCTTATCGAATCGGACAGGATTATTTCATATACTCGGATTCTACTTGACACGAATACTTCCATTGAACAATATGTCTAATATTTTGAAAAGATTCAGGTGATACTCATCAACAGTATTGTCAAATTTGACTCAATTAAGCGAAATAATGAATACTTATAATTATATTTGTAGTTAGACATCAGACAAGACTCAATATAAATCCATCATCTACTAGACAATATGACACTGTAATTTCTTTCTAACGTTTCTACGCTGCTTCTCGTTGAATATTTTTTGTAATCGAACAATACTGATAATAATAGTATGATAAGAACAATATGATGTGCATTACTTGGATTAATTATGAAGTTAATCACATTGGATAAAACAAAGCAAAGCCTACAATTCGACATTGAGCATAATTCACGCTTACAGATACCTTTCTCTTGGCTTTTTCTTTTGCGTTGCTGGAATCTTTTCTCTTTGCTGACGGTCCTTTCTTTGTCCATAGTTTTCTTCCAATTGAACCATAAGCAAATATCATGATTACCAATGGTAGGATGTAAGTGAAGATGAACAGAGCAACAGAGTATCGGCGTTGCCATTCTCCTGAAGGCCAATGTTCCCAGCAAATATTCTGAGATACGCCGTCGTCCCAAACAAACTCTTCATAATCCATAACTAAAAACAGGGGCAAGTTGATAGAAAAGCTGGCCGCCCACACCACTAGAATAGCTACTACACACGTTCTTGCCTTAGTTTCACGCCACATCAATGGAAAGATAATCGCAAAGAAACGGTCACCGGCAATGACTGTTAGTGTCAGGATACTGCAGATAACCGTTACACCTAAAAGAAAGAAGAATTAGAACATTTAAACGTTATTCATTTATTCAGTTTAAGACTTACCAATCGGATGTTCTCGGAATATGTGATACTTTTCCTTGTATCAAGC